AAACCGGGTGATCTGTAAAGGATTCTGTGCATACATCGCGACATGGGTAAAATGTTGGTCTAACCAACTCATCTTCAGGAAGCTACCAACAAAAGCATCACGTGATGGTCTAATCCCTAGACTGTCCTCAACAATATCAACATAATTACCTCCAATAGGTGCTATCACAGGTCTTCCATCAATTCGTAACCCTAACAACACGGATATATCTTGCAAAGTGATCGTACACTCACCTTGAGGCAAGTGAAAAGTGTGTGTCTCTGGCCTCCATCTCTCTACTAATGCAGTGATCAACGGCAGGTCTAATGGAAATTGACATACATGAGCAATCCCAGTAAATCCCGCAAGCTCCAAATGTGGAAGGATCTCCTGTGGAACACCATCCAAACCAGCTGGAATAAACTGACTCTTCCTAACCTTCAAAATGAGATGTTCACGACCATCCCAAATATGTTCAGACACGTGAATATTCTGTAAGCGTAATAATAAAGGATTCTCTGGTCCTGGATGAATAATCCTATTCTGTCCTGAAGATGAAGCCATCTTCAGGAAAACAACATGGTCAAAAAGTAAAATTTAAACATTAATTATACAACAAAATTAATAACATTGTCTCCTAAAGAATATCAATTTTAATTATTCACACTTAATTTTAAAAAAATTTGTAAATAAAGTTTCTATTTGCATATATTTTAACATTTCTCAATTAATTGTATTTTTTTACATTAAATATCTAAATCAAATCTTAGTCCTAAATATATGAATGACCTTTATAAATGAGATTTATTTTTTCCTTTTATTTTTTCATAACTAATTACTTTAAGTTTACTATATATTTTTTCAACTAATGACATAATTTAAGATTACTAACTTTTTTATTTTATTGAAAATTATATTATATGACAACATTTTTTATTCTCAAATAATTAATATCAATCTAAAAATTTTATTTCACTAACTAAAATTGTTATTTTATCATAAATTAAATTATATATTTAAATTTATTTTTGTTAAACATTTTATTTACATAAGTAAATAAAACAATTTCATCATAATTAATTAATAGTCATTACATTATTTATTTTTATATTATTTCTAATCTTAAATATTTAATAGTAGAATTTAAATATAATTTAATATATAGTCAATTATAATACATTTATTTTTTTACTTTTATCATTTTTTTTAATTATCTATTACTGTTTTTTATTCATAAATTGAGTTATCATTTTACATTTTTTCATATTATTTAATATTAAAAAACGAAATTTTTATGTATTCTAAACATCATTTATTATATTATTAATTAACCAATTTTATACAACTATTTTTATTTTTCTATTCTAAATATTATTCAACAATTTAATCTAATTTATTTATTTTATTTTTATTTATTTTTCAATTTACACCTCAAATTATTATGATAATTTTACATGTAAAATTTTATTTTATTTACAAATTAAGATTGTTTTTATGTTTCTACAGAATTACTAAATTAAATTAAAATCAATCTTTAATCTAAACTACTGTATCTATATTTTTCTAATCAAATAAATTTGAATTATAAAAAATTAAATTACTTACAAAAAAATAAAACTAACCTGCTGCCGATTTTCCCAGCCAACCACACTTTTTCCGCAGACGAGAACCCCAAAAATGCTGGCAGTTTGTGCAATGGCGTCTCTCCACTACCCAGACCTTTCTTCTCTGGCAAACGTTTGCAGTTTTCCCAAATTTCTCAGACTTCCGGTCCAAGAATAGTCCAAATCAACAATCAAAATGGATGAAATCACAGATCTGTAATGGATTAAGAAAATAACCACTTCCTCTCTCAAAAATTGCTCAAACAAATGGTAATGGCTTCCACATCAAACCAGACGGGCGGAAGAAGGAGAAGACGATTTGCGGTGCCTGTTCACTCCGCCGACACGTGGACTAATGGTATAATTTGCGGTGCCTGAATCAGAGACGAAATTATACCATTGGTCCACGTGTCAGCGAGCGCCAAAATTAAATTCAAAACTTTTTGTTTATTTATTTTTAAATACGGGACACATGTCATTATTTTGATAATTTCGCCTCACTCTTAGACGAAATGCTTAAATAAAAAAAATAAAAATTAGTTTTGTCTGACTTTTATACGAAATTAATGCTGAGTTGGCAAAAATTTACCCCAGACAGAAAAATTGTTTGAATTTTAATTTATTTTGATAATTTATTTTTAAAAATATATTATTTTAACCTTTTAGCCTAAAGTGTTGGATCGAAAAGAAAAAAGAAAAAAAGAAGAAAAAGTGTTAAAATACGGTGTATAGTCTGATGCATATAATTGGCGATAAAATAAAAGTAGATAATAGAAGTTAATGGGGCAAATAGGAAGGCAATCAATCATATGGAAATGAAGATCACAGTTGTTTAGGGTGACGTGGACTAGCTTTCATAAATTGACGAAAACGACTTTTTATTTTAATATTCAATTAAAATATAGGCACCGACAGGGGACGCTGCTCATGTGGCATCAAAGTCGTAAATATTATTCTAATAAAACAAAACGTTCATTATTTATTCTATTAATTTTATTTGTTCATGTGAAAGTAAATACACTGCTCCACAGTCAAAGCATGTTGTTATACTAAACTAAATCCATATGATTATTTTTGTTTAAATTTCTAACTCTCTCCTTGCCATTATAATAATGTGACAAAAAAATCCATAGTCAACATGCACAGCTGGAAATTATTTACCCAACAATCTTATTGGTTTTATGGACATGAGAACAGAGAACAGAGAACAGTTAAGAATTAAGTGAGTGGACCCAAAGTCAATTGAATATACGGATCTAACCCTTCTCGCACACACAGCTCTGAATAGGGCCTTATGATTTTACTGCCTTATGGATTACTCAATTTGCTTATCAAAGTTCTTGTACCATTCTTTTTTGTTTTTTTAAACATCTTCCTAAATCTTTAGTTTTCGGGTCTTTTTCTTTTTATTTTTTTTTGTCAAGTTGCAGTGAGTAAGTTTTGTTCTGACCCGCCCCACCAGCAGATACCATTTATCTACCGCATTATGTTTAAAAGTAACGTGTTCTTCTTGTCGTGATGGCATATTAATATTAGGGCTAATAAACTATTGGCATGCTTCATTTTATTAGAATTTCTAGCATTCTATGACTTGCTGTGATGTAATATTTATTCTTGGTCAATGATTTATACTTTATATGTCTCATGCTCATCGTCTCAAAAGTATTAATCAGCAGTAAATGTAAGTTAGTCAGGTTGACGAAGCACAGATTAAGTAGATGAAGCACGATCCATTGCCCAAGCAAGAACAAAATAAATAGTAATATTCTGATAGAATTAGTCAATAGTTGAAGTTAAACTTGATCGAAATGAGTTGAGACTACGTATTCAGAACATGATTTTATTAATGTTGTTTGGCGTGGAAATATTTTCTACATTTTTTTTTCATGTGCATACTTGGTGATTTGATGTTATACTAGTCATATCAGAAAATAAATAACAAGAATAATTTCTAGTATTATTTAATTGGACGGTTGTGATTCTCGTAGATTTTGGCCTGTTTAATAACAACAATAAGATAGAAAATATATACTTTAGTCTATTCTATATTTAATGCATATTAAAACGATAGATTAAATATATTTTTATTATCTTATCTCATTTATTTTAGCTTAAATCTCTTATATAATAAAATTTATATAAGAAGAAAGTGTGATAATAGGTCTATAGGGTAAGTTTACTATATTTATTAGTTAAATAAATACTAAAAAACAACATAAAAAATTCATATTTATTATAAACTCCCGCTGCCGTTCTTCAGTGTCATCCTCGGATTTTTCAAAGCTGTGATGAATTTGTTGAGGGGATTGAATGAAAACCCAATAACATTTGTGAAATTTCCTGCATTACAGAAGCATATATGATCATCTCCAATAAATCAGCACCTGACAATTTTCTGTTTCTCAAAAAATGTCTCAATGTTGCACCGAAATAGTTCAATACTTCAATTAATGCAAGTCGTTCCTACCTTCTCTCTTATGTTGTTTTTCTTTAATTATTGAAGCACCAAAACAAAGCAAATTAAAACTACTAGCAGAAAATGTCAACAATAAAGATGTACCATAAATACCCCAATAAGCTATCAGCAATTTCTGATTTCATGTGCATAACAATGTGTTAGGATTTGGAAAATGATCGTAAACCATAACAATGTGAATATTTTTTTTATCATATTAATTAATATCTTATTAATCTTATTTTAAAACATACGATATAATTAAAAAGTAAACATTTTAATCTTAATTTTCAATGAATATCATAAAAAAACAAAAAGAAGAGCGTAAATACACTAGCGAGTATAAGCGTAGAGAGAGAGAAATTGACGTTTTAAAGACAATATAGGCCGCGTGAGCTGATCCTACTTGCCAGTTCTTAGCTTTTTCTCTCTTTCTTTGTAGTTTCTCTTCCAATCTCACAAGTGCCACTGAATCCTAACCCTGCTGTTGCTGGACCCCACTCACAAATAATACTAATAATTAATCAGATTCCGTTAACTAATATACCAAAAATGCTAATTAAAAATCCATTAAATTTATTATAAATTGTATAGAGCACATTAATAATATTTCTTTATTTAAATTTTTAGTACACTGATTAACTTTTAGATAATAACAACAGGAAAGTGTAGAAGTGTGGCAAGATTTTCCAATTTTAAGACAGCAACAGGATCCTAAAACAAAACCCCCTCTGCCGACGGAAATTTATCCCTTTTCTCTCTCACATTTTCCATTTTGAATACAAAATAGATTAATAATAATAATAGAAATATACCGGAAAAAGAAAAAAGAGGTATTGAATTTGCTTTATCATTATTCACCAAACTCCGGTGGGTCACAGCCATCGCCACCACCGCAAGCTGGGTCCCACCTCCCACCTCACTCTTTACTAACTCTCACTCCTAACTCCTAACTTGTTCATTTCTTATATATTTTAAAATTTTATAATTTTGATGTTTGGTTTTATTAGTTTTTTCCCCCTTTTTAATAATCTCAGTTTTCGTTGCTTTTTCCCTCGATCTCTCTGTCTCTCTGTCCCCCCAACCCTTATTGTATTGTATCTCCTTCTCTCTTACGCGTCTTAGCTTCTTCTCTCTCTCTCTCTCTCTCTCCTTCTTATTTGTGTTGTACCACTTTCTCTCTCAAAGCATTGCCATAGATTAGGACCAGCCGTCGGTGGCTACCTTCTAAAGGAATCAAAGTCTCTTTCTAAAAAAAATTGTATTTTTATTTATATTTATTTTGGCCCGCAATTGCAAATTACGTGTATTGAGGAAAGTTGTGATTTTGGATCCGTTTTTGGTTTTAGCTTTTATGTGGGTGTGGTGTGGTGCTGTTGGGCAATGCAAGAGTGGATCTTCTTCTTCTTGTGAAAGGAAGAAGAAGAAGAGTTGCAACTCTTAGAACAAGTTATTTTTTTGTGAGTGTCAGTTTCAGTGATGCACACCGGAGGTCGACTTGTTGCTGGTTCCCACAACAGGAACGAGTTTGTGCTCATCAATGCCGATGAGAATGGAAGGGTAACTTCTCTTTCTCTCTCCAAAATCTATGTTTTTTTTTTCCTGTTGATCTCTTCTTCTCCGCCAAAAGTGTTCTTTTTTAGTTTTGGGGTTTTCACTTTATTATCTGTCGGTGGTTTCTTAAATTTAACAGTTTTGCATTTTGTTTCAGCTTCTGTGGTTGCCTTTTTTCGTTATTAGTTTGGGAGGGGTTATGTTATGTTGTGAACAAAAATGGGTTGTGAGCTTTTGCTCTTCTAAATTGGAGTTTTGGTTTTTGGTTTCTCCGGGAGATAGGCTTCTGAAGTTCAGATTTAATTGATTGTGGTATGGATGTTTGAGGTTTAACCCTTCTGGAGTGTGTTCAATTGTCTACAATGCATTAACGTATGTGCTTGTAATGTGTGGTTTAGCTAGTGATATTAGTAGAAGAATAGTTGACTAGTGAGGCTGGAACAATTGCTGGTTATTTTGTCTCATATTGGACGATTTGATGTTGATGTGTGTTATGGTTTGCTTGCGATTAGCCTTGAGAAGATCGACGAGGAGTGTGTGAGTGAATTTGTCACTTTCCTTGCCTGTGGAACTTTGATTTGTAATTTTTTTATAGGGTATGATTTGATTAGTGTGGAACCTTGTGGGGAAGTTGAATCGTTTAGTTTCTTAAAAGAATTGTGAATCAGGTGCTAATAACGCTTCAATCTTGGTTTTCTTGCTTTGGTTTTTCTCAGATTAAGTCTGTCCGAGAACTGAGTGGGCAGATATGTCAGATTTGTGGGGATGAGATTGAGGTTACTGTGGATGGGGAACCCTTTGTTGCCTGCAATGAGTGTGCTTTCCCCGTTTGCCGGCCTTGCTATGAGTATGAACGGCGAGAGGGGAATCAGGCCTGCCCTCAGTGTAAGACCAGATACAAACGCATCAAAGGTGAGATTGATTGTGGATTCATTTGTTTTTTACTGTTTTAGCTTGCTTGTGTTGTAGACATTTTCTTATGGTTTTATCAATGAATGAATTGCAGGTAGTCCAAGGGTTGAAGGCGACGAAGAGGAAGATGATACCGATGATTTGGACAATGAGTTTGATTATGGGGATGCCGATGGTTTGGGCCCACAGCCAATGTCAGAATCACTGTTTTATGGACGCCTTAACACCGGGCGTGGCTCTAATGCTAACGTATCTGGCATCCCTGCAAACTTGGAACATGGCTCACCTCCTCTTAATTCTGAAATCCCACTCCTGACTTATGGGGAGGAGGTAGTGTATCTTCAAATTTCCCTTTTTGACAAGTCTGATTTTGCGTCAATATGTGCGTTACTTCATCCTAGTGAGATAAGACTTGGCTGTTGTTGTTCGTATGTGCGTTGCTTCGTGCTGACAACTCTTGTCCTAACATAATACTTTTATATTATTCATAGGATCCCGAGATATCATCCGATAGACATGCTCTAATAATTCCACCACATACGAATCATGGGAACAGAGTCCATCCCATGCCTTATAGTGATCCATCAATTCCATGTAAGTTCTGCACAGTTGTGTATTTCTACAATCTGCGTTTTTACATCTCTTATTATCTGTACCGTATATATTGTCACCTTGGTATTTCTCTTGTCACAGTGCAACCCAGACCAATGGTACCCAAGAAAGACATTGCAGTGTACGGGTATGGAAGTGTGGCTTGGAAAGACCGGATGGAGGAATGGAAGAAAAGGCAGGGTGACAAACTTCAGGTGGTGAAGCATGAAGGCAATAATGATGGAAATTTTGGTGATGATTTTGAGGACGCTGATTTACCCATGTAAATTTCCTACTCCATTTTCCGTATTTTTCCCCTTTAAGTTATTTTTTATTCTCCATGATTGGAGTGGATATGGGAGCGTCACACTATAACATCAGGGCAAAACCATTTTGCATAAGGACTACATTTAAGACCTGATCGCTTGAAATCAACTTAATTGTATATAGATAGTTGCCGGTGCATCATGCATGCACACATATTAGCCAACCAAATGTGTTTTATTCTTTATATTTCTCTAATTGTCTGCCGTATATTTTTGGTTAGTTTATCAACATTTTTTTATCAATATATTATATCAGGATGGACGAAGGCAGGCAGCCACTCTCTCGGAAACTACCCATCCCTTCGAGCAAGATAAATCCTTATAGAATGATTATAGTACTCCGGCTCGTAATCCTTGGGCTTTTTTTCCATTATAGAATTCTCCACCCGGTTAATGATGCATATGGCTTGTGGTTGACGTCAGTCATCTGTGAAATATGGTTTGCTGTATCATGGATAATGGATCAGTTTCCAAAATGGTACCCAATACAGCGAGAAACATACCTTGATCGTCTATCACTTAGGTAACATATCTGGTGTTTTTTGTTTCTTGACTTGCATTTGTTCTGCACCCAATTATATGTCCAGTATATCTCATTGTACTTTTCATGCCCAAAATCCTAGTATGTTGCTCAACATTGGCTTTTTACATGGCTGCAGATATGAAAAAGAAGGGAAGCCATCTGAATTGTCCAGTGTAGACATATTTGTCAGTACTGTTGATCCCATGAAGGAACCTCCACTGATTACAGCAAACACTGTTCTATCAATCCTTGCTGTTGATTATCCAGTTGATAAGGTTGCATGCTATGTCTCAGACGATGGTGCTGCTATGCTTACTTTTGAAGCACTTTCCGAGACATCTGAATTTGCTAGGAGATGGGTTCCATTTTGTAAGAAATACAATATTGAGCCCCGAGCCCCAGAATGGTATTTTGGTCAGAAGATGGACTATCTGAAAAATAAAGTACATCCGGCATTTGTCAGGGAAAGGAGAGCAATGAAGGTTTCAACTTTCTCTGCTTGCAGTTTTTCTTTTTATGTAATTTGGTACTTGTGCACTATGCTAATGGTTTTCTTTTTGGCTTCACAGAGGGATTACGAAGAATTTAAGGTGAGGATTAACAGTTTGGTGGCAACAGCACAAAAAGTTCCTGAAGATGGATGGACCATGCAAGATGGAACTCCTTGGCCTGGAAACAATGTGAGGGATCATCCTGGCATGATTCAGGTGAGAGGATATGTCAGTTTCACAGATACCAAAATTAGTTTTTGCAGATGGTGATGGGCTTCTCGTGAGATGATTTTATTTAGTGTTTTCTGCTCAATGAACAATATTTTAGTTTCTTTTAAAGCTTTTAAAAAGTTGTCTGGTGGTGTTTTACTCCCCCTGTACACTTGTAAACAAATTCCTTTGCCTGATGTTCAAACTAATTTGCATTATGTAACGCAAGCTATCTCACTTTGCAAATACACTTGCTTTTGCTTCCCACCTGCTTTTGGCTAGATGATTTTTATCCTAGTTGTCACATTTAACTGTCGAAGTTAGAAACAATGACATTCTTTTTGTACTTTACAGGTCTTCCTTGGACAGGATGGTGTTCGTGATGTTGAAGGAAATGAACTACCTCGCTTGGTCTATGTCTCTCGAGAAAAGAGACCAGGCTTTGATCACCACAAAAAGGCTGGGGCAATGAATGCTCTGGTAAGTATCAAATCTCTTTTATCTTGGTTCAGGTTCAACTGATTATCTGGTGACCTTAAATAACTTGTGTTTGTAATGATAATAAATATCTGAAGGTACGGGCCTCAGCAATTATCACAAACGCACCTTATCTTCTGAATGTTGATTGTGATCACTACATTAACAATAGCAAGGCTCTTAGAGAAGCCATGTGTTTTATGATGGACCCTCAACTTGGGAAAAAGGTTTGCTATGTGCAATTTCCTCAAAGATTTGATGGAATCGATCGACATGATAGATACTCAAACAGAAATGTTGTGTTTTTCGATGTAAGTTTTTTGCTTTGCCGTTCTTCACGTGTTTTTGTGTTTTTCTTTCTGTTCTTTATTATGACGAATACTAACTCCCCAATTGAAAACAGATCAACATGAAAGGATTGGATGGTATTCAAGGTCCAATATACGTCGGAACTGGATGTGTTTTCAGAAGGCATGCTCTTTATGGATATGATGCACCTGCAAAGAAGAAGCCGCCAAGCAAAACTTGTAACTGTTGGCCAAAGTGGTGCTGCCTGTGTTGTGGCTCTAGAAAGAAAAAGAATGGCAACACTAAGAAGGAGAAAAAGAGGAAGGTGAAGCACAGTGAAGCATCAAAGCAGATACATGCACTTGAGAATATTGAGGCAGGGAATGAAGGTTAGAATATTGGGCCAAGTGGCTGTCTTTACAAATCAAAGCACTTTCTCTGAGAAATTTCCTTGTTAACAGTACTTAATATTGTTTTCAGTATCCAACAATGAGAAGTCATCCATTTTGACCCAAACGAAGTTGGAGAAGAGGTTTGGACAGTCTCCAGTGTTTGTAGCCTCCTCACTTTTGGAAAATGGTGGAGTTCCACAGGGCGTGAGTCCTGCATCACTTTTAAAAGAAGCCATCCAAGTCATCAGTTGTGGTTATGAAGACAAAACTGAATGGGGAAAAGAAGTAAGCATCAAAGGAAGCAATTTCTTTTTGTCAATTCTTTTTGAAAACTTGGTATTCTTGTTCTTGCATTTCTTTCTTCTGCTCATAATTTTTGGCTTATTACCAGGTGGGGTGGATATATGGTTCTGTGACAGAGGATATCTTGACTGGATTTAAAATGCATTGCCATGGTTGGCGGTCTGTGTATTGCATCCCAAAGCGGCCTGCATTCAAGGGGTCGGCACCTATCAACCTTTCAGATCGTCTGCACCAAGTTCTCCGGTGGGCCCTTGGGTCTGTCGAGATTTTTTTCAGCAGACATTGTCCAATCTGGTATGGCTATGGTGGCGGTTTGAAGTTGTTGGAACGGTTTTCCTACATAAACTCAGTCGTATATCCCTGGACTTCCCTCCCATTGCTTGTCTACTGTACTCTTCCAGCCATATGCCTGCTGACCGGAAAATTTATTGTACCTGAGGTACGCTTATTTGCATTATGCTTTAGGTCTCAGTGAAAAGAAATTCCTTTTATACTTTCCCTTCAACTAAGGAATTTAAAAACAAGTAAATGTTGTATTTGAGTTGTCAAGAATCATTTTTGACCGGTCAGATGGATTTTTGGTAAATGGTGAATTTAATATTTTATTTACCATCTTAGGAGTAGTAATTTTTGGAAAGAATTATTCCAAGGTTTGATTTTTCTAGAGTGATAGGGTGCACTTTAGAGGTAATAATGAGGAGTTATGACAGTTTACTTGAAAATCAGGTCAATAGATTTTAGTAATTTGTTATATATATATGCATGGATTTTATCATGATCTTTGCCTTTGATTTTCTATTTACTGGTTACGACACATTTTCCCCCTCCTAAATCCATATAATGCTATGTGTGGAAAAGCTAGAATGAAAATGGTTTCGAGCAATTAGATACTCATTGCAGTGGATTTTACCATCTTGAATCTATTTTGAAGGTTATTGGGATTGCATGTTACTGCATCATTTGTGTCCCTTTAATCATCTGGATTTTACTTGAAATAATAAAAGCAAAAGGTGTAGACTTTGGTACTAACATCCAATTTTCTATCTTAAACGCAGATTAGCAACTATGCAAGTCTTGTGTTCATGGCCCTCTTCATATCCATTGCAGCAACCGGCATTCTTGAGATGCAATGGGGCGGTGTTACCATAGACGATTGGTGGAGGAATGAACAATTTTGGGTGATTGGAGGAGTTTCTTCACATCTTTTTGCCCTTTTCCAGGGTCTGCTGAAGGTGTTGGCTGGTGTGAATACAAATTTCACTGTTACCTCAAAAGCAGCAGACGATGGAGAATTCTCAGAGCTGTATATCTTCAAGTGGACGTCACTCTTAATACCTCCAACTACTTTACTAATTATAAATATTGTTGGGGTGGTTGTTGGGGTCTCAGATGCCATCAACAATGGTTATGATTCATGGGGACCTCTCTTTGGTAGATTATTCTTTGCCTTGTGGGTCATCATCCATCTCTACCCCTTCCTTAAGGGGTTGCTTGGGAAACAAGATAGGATGCCAACCATTATATTGGTTTGGTCAATCCTGCTGGCCTCCATCTTGACTCTCATGTGGGTCAGAATCAACCCTTTTGTGTCAAGAGATGGACCTGTGTTAGAAATTTGTGGATTGAATTGTGATGAGTCTTGAATAAAGAAAGCTGAAGGTGCTTTTCAGCTACACCGCATGTCGAAGAAGCAACGTGTTCAACACGGCGCGCTTCACCAAGTTGCATGAATTTTTGGATGGAAAGTTGTATTTTTCGGGTGTGTAGATACAGAGGAAGGGGAAGGGGTGGGGGAAGCTTACACATTGTGTTACCTTGTAATAGGGGTTCTTCATTTATTCTTTGATTATATTTCTGTGGGTTGTAGTGTTCTATTCTTTTTCCAGTTTCATGTATTCTTATAAGAAAGGCATTGAATGATAAATTATTCCCTCTTCAAAATGAGGGGATCTGCAGTCTCAAGCATTAGTTGTCATATTTGAAGGTATGGTTCTTGTTCTTGTTTAAACCTTTGAGATGGGGACATTCGCTATTTTCCTCATTTGTAATACCATCAGCTGTGGATATTCCTGTTCCCCATATGTTTCTTTTTATGGTTATTATTTAACACTCGCCAACTTTTGGGTCGATTCAATCTTGTGCAGACTGTTCCTGCACATTGCTGCTTTCTCTCATTTGAACAGATATTAATTAGAAAAAAAAAATTGTTTCGGGTGTGTTACTTGGTGAGTCAGGTTTTCTATATCAGGAAAAAAGCTTTCTTAAATAAAAGGAAAATCCTACGGTATAAGAATGAGAAAAAATATAGTGGATTTCATTACATTTCTAATCGAGGCTATTGCTTTATTGCTATCTTTGAGTCTTAGTTCTTAACATATACAGTCTGTAAATTTTTTTTGGTGTCACATGGGACTTCTCACATGGAAATTGAAAAGGATTACTGAGGAAACGTGCCGTGACAATATGTACACAATTGCTTTGCTTCCACGTCCCAAGCTATATCACTTGCGTAAGCCAACTATTATACCTTATTCTTAAGGAAAGCGCGTGAGAGGAAACCGGAAAGAAAAAAAAAAGAAAAAGGAGAGCCTTGTTGATAAATTAAAGGTTGTCTAATTATATACAAGATAAACTTTGGTGTATTACTGTGGTGCTATTCTTCTTTGAGTTGAAATTTCACTTTACTAATGTGCACTGGTTATCTATAATATTGTTATGCTGATCTTTAATGCTGATTTTTATTATACAAATTATTTTAGCAAAACTTCGATTCTAATTGAACACTATCAATTAGTTCGAACAATATCAATAGTACTTATGCTATTGCATTTAAGTTTTCTCTATATTTGAATTCTCTAATCTATAATGAGTTTCCTCATTCCATCCGATTTAGTTTCAATCATAAGCGTCTATTATTATGTTTATGATTTTCTAAATAATAAATTATTAATTTTAATGGTTGAGATCTTTTTCAGTACTAATGTCATTGCGGAGTATCTTTTTCCCTTCTGTCCTTTTATATATAAGGAAAATAAGCTTACTTTGTCAAATAAGGGTTCAGACACCCAAAAAACTGACCAGTTTTATAGCTCTTCCACTTTTCCTATTTTTTCCATCTTTCCAAAATAAATATTCTCTTCAGAACTTTTTTTTCACACATAAAACAACCTTTCAAACTTGAGAAAGATAGAAAATAAATAACTGCCAAAAGAATTTTAAATTGTTAGTTTAAGTACAATCTGAATGCAAAGAGACAAATTAGTATAAAAATATTCATAATCGTGTGTCTGTCATACAACTTAAATTTTTAGGTTATTTAATTTATGGCACAAATTACTTTAATATTAACACGAGTTGTCTTAAGGGCCTTTTATAGTAGTCTCAAATTTTAAGATCATAAACTGTTTATTAAATAGAATTTCCTATTTTATATTATAAAATATTTATTTCATTAATTAATATATATGGTGAACAGTTCTACATTCTGAACCATTCATTGTTCTAATTAAGAGCTTGGACTAAGAGGAAACCATCAAAGGGAAAGCGGCCAAAGAAACATATTCAGGAGCTTATATATACAAACTTGAACAAATTTGAAGTTTTCCACGAGGGTCAGAAAGTAGACTCTTTCTCGACAAAAAATAAAAACAAAATTGTATAAATAAAAGATGACTGGGAATTCCACCTATCACTATCAAGGTGTGTTCCACTTTCTACACAAAGCAACAAAAAAATCATACGTGGCCGTTTCCATGACTTGGGTCTACTCAAGCTGATATACCAGGTCTTCTATATAATTCAATTTATGAGGCAATCATAACATAATAGTAAAATCCCAATCCGTTTGGACTTTTGGTGCATTCATACGAAAAACACTTTAAAAGATTTGCTATTAATTAATACCCGTGAGATTGCGGACCAATATGTCAAATGCGAGATTTTAAGATCAATCCCACGGTCATGAACTCGTTTTTGTCAAAAGAGAGCAACACAATATTCGACCTAGCTTCATAGAACCAACCTCGTAGTTTCTGTCTTGTCTCGTTCTCCACAAAACACGTTCGACGCTATTACGCTAAGCACGTAACTATAATAATAACGTTTGTTGAGCTGAAGAGAACACACGCATAGTGAAGAGGAAGAATCATATCTTAAGTGGGTTCAAGTGTTAACGAAAAGCTGATGGCAGAAGCACCTTCTTCTTGTTGTTCTTCTTCTTGTTCTTGGCGTAAGAGCAAGGTGATGGAGGATCATAGCTTGATGACTGAGTCTGACGTGGACGCTGCACATAACCTTATGCAACTCAGCGACGAAGAGAAGAGCAACGATGTTAGAGGCAGCAAGAGGAACAGAAGCAATGATGAAGAAGAGGTTGATCAAAGGCCATGTGATATTATAATGGCCAAAATGCAAGAAATTTTTGGGAATGATATTGAGATGTTCCCAACAAGGAAGCAGAGAAAATATCGCTCTCTCGTGAATATATACTTGTCCACAAGCCCCATTAATGCTTGCAACGATACAAGGGTTAGAGCCTGAGAAATGAGAAGGTAAGGGTAAGATAAAATATTTAGAATCCAAACCTGAAGCAGGAACTAGGAAAGTAGTTTTTGTGCGTTTTTAGTTTAGTTTATTTTGAAGAAATAATCATTTATTTGCTAATTTTTTTAAGGAAAAATTCAAAATTTAAGTGATTATTTCTAAGCGTTGCAAACAAGCCTTCAAACATGTGATTTTAAGTTAAATTCCACTATTGATATGTATGACAAAACATCATTAAAAAAATGAAAATATTTTTGGTGCGAATACGATTTTTTATAGCATGATTCTAAAACTTGATTAGCTGCTAATTATTTATTAATATTTTATTTTCCTTTTATTCACACAAACTCTTATCCTGATTGGCTAATTTTGAATCTATAAAATTTTTGTACTGACATTCTTCATACTGTTTAGCAATGCTGCTAAAAAAAATCTCTACTTCAACATATCGTATTTTAAGAGAGAATTCTCACACTTATAACCCCGAGAAGATGTTCTATAAAACTTTTTATAAAAAAGAAAAGTACCACAGTTGAACACACCCCAGAAGGGTCAAACCACAAAATGTTAGCTTCCAAACACGAACACGAACCACCGGATGACTCATCGCTGATTAGTCGGTTGATCTATACACAAAATTATTGTAGCGAAAGAAAAATATTGATCAAAATTTTCGTGCTTAGTTATATTGTAAAGTGAAGTGATTACTATTAGTTTAGACTTCTATCGTGACAATGATTATAATGTGGGAAATGTTTATATTGTTAAAAATGTAATATCACCAAACGGAAAAAGGTCATAGACATGACGAAGTAATTTGACAAGCCAAAAAGACAACTTTGTTCAATATGTTTTAATTCAATCGTCTATTAACAATCATTCACACTGATTTAACTAATAAAGCCTTTATAATTAACTATAAATGAAAAACGCTAATCAACTTTTAAAAAATTATCAAGCCAAGTCGAGAAAGGATTAATGAAATGAACAATCCCGAAACTTGCTGCAAGTCTTCGCTGTCTGCTTTCACCATGGGAACTGCGGTTAGATCACTGGAAAAACACCAGCCAAGGATAAAATCACAGCATAGATTTGTAGCTACATATCAGCATCACATCTATTTGTTCATCGCCTCTATTAGTAAAACCCATGATTGAAAACGACATAATTAACTTAATCCAATGACAGGGAACACAGGTGAAATAATGATAGAATGAACCGTATAAATTTCACAACATAATGGATTATAACAAAACTCATTTTCCTTACAAGTGTTACTCAGTACGCAATCCCTCTTGGTGACAAAATTTGTTTGTGATTTGACCGTATATAAGAGATGCAGCACCGAACAGACTCACCCCTCGTTTACTATCTTCCACGTCAGAAGCACCTGTAGGTCAAACCTGCTGAAAAATATATAACTAGCTGTGCAACACTAAATAAATTTTGATCAATTTTAGGCACATAAAAGATATTAGGAATATATTTCAAACGAGTGATTCTATGGTCCTCCCATTTGTTTGATAAAGTAACGGAAAAATATCTTTTTGAAAAGCTTCTAAACAGTGTGGACCGTTGATTAAGATCAAATGGTTAAAAATAAAAGACTAAGAACCGATGATACAAGTTAAATTTATGAAAGAATAAATATGTAATTTCATGCTTAATTTTGTGTTCTTCTTCTACTGTCTTTCTCTTTTGTTGCTCTGTGTCCTTTTTCTAGTCTTTTATTTTCAAACATTCATTGATATGATATGAATTTGGTAGTCTCTATTCTACCCCACCACTACGCCAAAAATGAGATGTAAGAGCGGTTCCGCTTGAATTAAGAGAGCGGTTAATGGCGCTTTAAAATCACGTGCTATCCAATGTCTTTATTTTTGGAGAGCGGTTATTTAAACGCTCTCAAACGTATATTTTGAAAAGCGGTTACGCGGTTAACCGCTCTCAGAAGTTCACCAAAGAGAGCGATTAAGCGCGTAACCGCTCTACAAAAAATAGTACTTTGAAGAGCGGTTAAGATTGAACCGTTCTCACAAGTTAGACTAAAGAGAGCGGTTGACAGGTTAACCGCTCTCTTATCTCAAACTTATAAGAGCGGTTATAATTGAACCGCTCTCAGAAATACATTTTGGAGAGCAGTTCCCCTTTAACCGCTCTCCAAAGTGAACTTCTTAAAGCGGTTCAACCTGAACCGCTCTCTAAAGTTAATAAATATTTTTAAATATTTTCATAAAACTGGCATAAAACCTTTTTTTAGCATACTTGGTAAATTATACAGTATTCAAAATCAATTCAAACAGAATATAAAATTCAAATAGTGACTGATATACCAGAATTTCAGAGCAATTGCACTGTATTATTCAATTACAACTCACATGTATAGATTATAATCAATCAGAGTCTCATATTTACACATTTTGCCTAGCCTTTAAAGAAAATTGTCTAAATATTGTAAAAGAACACTAATCATTTATTGTGTTTAATGTGTCCTTTAAATATCTATGGTACAAATATGAACACCACTCCTTTTGCAATTGACAAATTTTGTTGTTAGGAAAAGTTGGCATCTGCACCTTTGGAAAGTAC